AGATAGAAATAAGAAAAAGTGAGCTTGGCTGCCTGTGAGGCTGCATTTAACTGTTGTTGACTGCTGCCAGCATAGCTGCGCTTGGTACGTGATGGTGCTGCTGATGTGACCGTCACTTCTGCTGCACAGCAAGAGCAGCAGCAGGAAGAGTGACTGTGTAGCTGGGCTTTGATGTGAGCTATGCGAGTTATGAAAGCATCAGCTGTAGGCGCTTGCGTTTTGATAAGCTGGGCATAGCTTTGCAGGCCAGCAAGTGCCCCGTCTGCCAGACTGGCATGTGGCGCCGAGCTAAATGTGAGCGTGCTCCCGACATGGTTAATGTTTCTGTCCTTTTTTGGTAGGGCGCGCTCATTCATGACATAATTTGTAACTGCAGCTGTAACTAGTAATTGGTACAACCTGTGCCTCTTTTTTTTTTTTTTTTCCCCCAGATGGGTTTTTAAATATACTCCAGTGAGTACACAATGTGCCTTTGTCTGATTTTAAAAATACTTGGCCTACTGTGGCAGCAGGGCACAGGGAGAGCTCCTGAGAGAAAAGGAGCAAGAGAATTGCTGCCAAGCTTTGGTGCAGGTAGAACAAACAGCTAAGCAAAATGTTTGTCATTTGCTTAAGGTGTCTTTATGACACCAGCAAGGCTGATGTTTTAACACACTTTATTAAATGAGAGCGTATTTGAGACCTACTTCCCAGGTGCAAGCTAAATTAGTTGGACCTTCTTTGTAGAGCACTGAATAATTTTGTTGCTCTGTGGCCCTTCTGAGGTTGTGCTTGGCTGTACACAGCTTTACTATTACAGTTTTTCTTAGACTTGCTTTGTGCTCTGCCGAAACTTGTTGACCATTCACTGAATGTCTTTACAAAGAGTACAGTTGCCTTCCAGTTTATGCCAGGTGAGCAAATGTTTCTGATTCTTACAGCATATTGCTTTCTGTGGCTTGGATGAGATTCTACACACCTGAAATTACTTCGTGGTGTTTTATGTCTGGCAATGATGCTCCTGCAGAGAATAGTGTTACATGTATCCTATAAGAATCTCCGTCCTTGTAGCCATTTGCAATTGTTTGTCTCTTTTCCGGGCTAGGCTGGAGACATACATCTGGCTTACACAGTTGTTCAGACCAGGATTTTCTCACATAGGTCTTAACGTCTTTCTTGGGTCTGGATAGATATGTAAAGGCTTTCGTCTACTTATTAATAATTTCAATTTTCTATTTTCCTACTTGCTGAATTTTCTGGTAGATCTGTATGAAAGGCCTCATCATGCCATAGGATTTTCTTGTACTTGATTTGTTCTATCCATCTGCTTGAGAATTAGGAAATAACCTACGCAAAGCACTGTTCTGATAGGAAAATACCATCATTTTGTTGTATCCTTATGATTTTATATTGAATCAGTAGGATTGGGAAAAAAAAAAAGTGTGTCTCAGTCATCTCTAGAGACATTCTGCTTGGATCAGAAGGTCAGGCCGTGCTGTGTCTCCTCATAGCTGGCGGCAATCTTTCTGAAAGCAAAATATTGTTAAAGCCCTATCCTCTCACCTGCCTCCCGTTTAAATGGGACAAGGTGTAACCCGATAAAGCGGAGGGAGCTCGACTGCAGCAGCGCCTTGCGAAAGAGTTTAGCGATGAGCAAAACAAAGAAACCAGTTAATGTAGAGTGGGTAGTTTGTGCTGATGCTCATAAACGTTTTTGTCACCAAATTAAGCAGATGTCACTGAACACAGACATCGAATTCATGTAAGGTGCCCTTCTAATTAGCCTTGCTTACTTATGCTCTTAGCATAGGATCTCTGGTTGTTGCACTGGCTAGCAATGCGTAAGATGAAGAGCACTGCTGCTTCACTGTGTATCTGTATTTCCATAAATCAAGTAGCACTCTCCATTTTCCAAAGTTTCCTCTACTTGATGCCATAATTTTTGGCAAAAATAGTTTATATTGGCAAAAGTTGCCACTTGACTCAAGAACATTAAAGGTGTTTTTAGTTTAAAGAATGAAACATGTATAGACTGGAGATAAATAGCTCTCCTGAAAAGGAATGTATATTTACACATTCTTGGTGTAATAGCAGAGGTTATTTTTACATTTACATTCCAGTGTGGCATAAAGCGAACATTGTGAAGCAGGATGTTAATTCAGTGGCTTTCAAGGGTTGGTAGAGCAAGTCAGGCTTAGACAGTAAATGCTGTATTAATGGTTAGCAGTGACAATTTCATCAACATAGGATCTGCAGGGTATAATTAACATCAGTTGCTTTGACACTATGCTCTTAATGTATGGTTTCAACCTTTCTTTCAGTTGCAGTTGGAGAATGTACTGTGACAAATTACTGCTGATACAAAGTAGGTCAACAGTAAAATGGCTGACTTACCATAAATGAACAGATCTAAATTATTGTAGCTTAATGTCCAGTTACATTTTCTTAGTGGTTAAGTATTGTGCCCTTGTATTTCTAAAGCCTTTTATTCAACTTCCTTTTTTTTTTCTTTTTTTCCTGTTTCTTAACCATTGAATATTTGAGTCTGGACAAGAGCAATATTTTCTTCCAGCTGCTGGGAAGAAACCCACATGAGCAGTAATGCTGTACATGGAACAACAGACATTTGACCTTGTGATATTATAATTCTATGCCTGCAAAATTGGCAAGGCGAAATGAC